AGTGGCGGCGGAACACCTTTAATGAAGTGTGGGCACTGCCGACTTTTGGTCCCATTCTTTCCATGCAACGCCCATAGGGCTAATGTTAAAATGCCAAAATCAAACGGGGGCACGGTGCCCCGATGCCCCCCTCTCCCCCCGTTCCGCCACCACATGAAATCAAGTCGCTAAGAGACGATGAAGAAAAGTGGACGAACGCCACATTTCTGTGCATGAAGTCTCGAGTTATAAAAAGCTAAAAGCTATTTTACGTGTAAGCTAAAAAACAATAAGATCAGTTAATAAAAATATTTGACCCGAAATTAACTTCTGTTTTGTTTGACCATGATTGCATGTATGACCCCGGTCCAGCCTGGTTCAACTCGGCCCAACTTGGTTCGGCGCCCTCTTTTTTAATATAAGTTTGGCGCGAACCTTTTGAATGGAAGGAATCACAAGGACAGAGTCCCCGCTAAGCTGAGCTTGTTAAGCGTTGAAACCTGCCATCCACCCTCCGATCAAGCAATTTCTGGTCTATTGCAGACTATGGTTTTGAGGTTTAGTCTATGGCAAAATGGTCTGTAGTTTAGAGTCCAAATTTTAACGTGCGCACATAGTCGCGCACGGCCGGCCCCCTCGCTGACTTCGCCTGGCAGCGGCCTGCCACCAACCACAACCATACCCGACTCAGGAGGCTAAAAAACGTCAAGCACACGTCGTGTTTCGAACCCGGACTTTTGCAACCGGGACGTGCGCCTTCGATCACCACATGGCACATGGAGTCCAACGCTCTACCGACCGAGCTACCGGGACGGACATTTACCTTGGGGTTTCGCCTCGTGACATTGACAGACGTCAGACACTTTGGCCGAACTTTAGCCGAAACACTGAGCAAGCTGCGCAGGGCGATAGGTGCTCGTAGCGTTGAGGTTGGGTAGCCTGTGAGCTGAACGCGATGTCGTGGGTTCGAGCCCCACTCCCGGGTCTGGTTTTATCTAGACACAACCAAAACCTTTCCTTCTACTGCAACACAACTGAGCACGATGACATCTTTCCCCAATATCTTTCCCCAATATCCTCCCCAAAAGTCAAAATTATTGCTTACAAACGTTTAGCTTAGTTTCATTTTTTAGGAAAATATTTTTGGTTATTTGTCTGGAGCCATTTCAACTCTTTTTTCTTTTCTGATTCTTTTCGACCCGATAAAACCCACCAAAACTGAACGTGCCAAATGAAAAATATCTAACTCAAATAACAGTTTAGAAAAGCCTCATCATGCATCATGAAAAGCATCATGCAACTATCGACTGAAGGTTGCATGCTATGAATACGTCCTAGATTGTTTCAATTATCATTGTTCAACATTTTGGCTGGAACTGACGCTGCCTCTGGCTTGCCCGTTTGTTTGAGATAATGATTCCCTTCAGTCGCGTTCTTGCCGGTTCCACATGAACAGGATACCACCATACCGGAGTGAACGCACCCGCAACCATCATCCCCTCCCCTCAGCCTCGGCGCAGTGGCGGGCGGCCCTGGGCGGCCCACTCCCGGCGCTACACACGCCCCATGCGCCGTGATATCGCGTCACTCCCCCTCCCTCCTTCCCCCACAATGACCGGTGACCTCACTTCCCTCGGGATTTGGACTCGCCCTACCCCGACCGTAGCGCCACGTGGTGGCTCTGGAGATCTTAAATAGACCCACTGTACAGATGCACCAGCATGGGACATTTTCCGATCAGGTGTATGCCGCCAAGGATGATTTGACTGGTGGTGTCTTCCGCTTTCGAGATTTCCATGGTGGAGGCGAGATCTTCAGCCCAGTCACTTGAGTGGCGTTCAGCGAGGCGTCGCTCGTAGGCCGCCTGCCGTAGCACTTTGGCTGATGGCGCTTCCGTCAGGTTGCCATCAGCCAGCTGGTCCGCAGGGGCGTCATCGATCAGTCCTTGGCGGGTCAGGTACGCTCCCCTTTGCTGCACCTTATCGGCCACTGATGCACGACGTTCCCCAGCCAGGTACCGATGGGCGTGAAACTCTCCGTCAGGGGGCGACACGGCTATTCACGCAATGTATTCATTTGCGGGCTTCGCGGGGCCTCGCGATGACGCGGCTGGAGGCAACCACTCAGCGCGCTAGGATCATTCTGGCGGGGCCGGGCGCCGTAAGGTGTGCAATGAATGGGCGGGCAGACAGAGATGAGGTAGGTATTGAATTTGAAATGAAATCATGAGCAATTGGATGGGGAGAGAGAACGTTTCTAATGGAGCTTGGGATGGGGGAAAACCAAAAATATCACGGTCGGTTCAGAGCTCCGACAGGGCAGGGCGCCGTACGGTGCGCAGTAATTTAGACGGGCAGACAGATGAGTTATCGGATTCTGCTCTCTGGTGGGATTTTAAGACGTTTTTAGTTAAGCTCAGGGGATCAGGGTGGGGCAACCCGTTGGCGGATCCAAGGAGACAAATGTTATCCCCCACAGGCCCACATCCGGGGCAGCGTCCGAAATCGTTTTACGAGAATAAAACGAAAACTTCACAACTTTTCTGAGGAAAAGTTTATTGATCGAACTGCACAGTAGTGCACAGGGAATGGAAATCCGATTTTTTAATTCACAGAAACCTTTTTTAGGGTATATGCCCCCCGATGTGTTCAAGACCGCTACCTGGATCCGCCAGTTAAGAATATGTCACGGTCGATTATCGAGCTTCGGCGGGACTGGGCGCTGTATACGTCGTACATACAATAAAGAGGCGTACAGACACCTTACCCCACATCCTACTGCTCTACCCGTGCCTCTGGGCAAAGCAATGAAGCATCACGGAAGCCCACAGCACCTGCGAGTCGACGAGGTGGCCGCCGGATAGGTACTGCAGCTCCCCGGATTTCCCCGGGACCGAGGGCTTAACAGTAAATAGTAATTATGTAGGTAGAGATCTCATATCCTCAAGGACCTCCGTTACCATTTTATATTCCTAAATAATATGGCAGACCAATTATGCTTGCCTACGTTCAGGCATTATCCCTGATGCTTATCCGCCCACTACAACATGTGTTGTTTGTCTGTCAATCAACCATCGCTCGACGACGGGATCAATTCTAACCATCGGTATTCGGTTGTCAATTCACCCACCCCGTTTCCCTAAAAGTAGACGGGTCAGACTCGGCCTGGGTCTTAACGAGTCCTAGAATCGCCAGAGATGGGATCGGGTCGCCGTTATTGCACCGGTCTTGGCGTCTTTTGGTATATATAAAGTAGACAGCTTCGACCACGGACGTCGGACCGTTCTACGAATGTTCGCACCATCCAGGCCTAAGATGCGTCGAGCTTTATAAGAATGCAGTCTAGATCAATCAATATGGTTAAATGATAACAATAACACGTCAAATGTATATTTAAACACACACAAAGCTTTCGGTATGAAAATACCTTGATCACTGTGTTAACAGAAATGAGGACACGGCCGTGTTACACTGCCGAATTTTGGCCACGACCCTGTCGCCGAATCACGTCGTGTAGGAAATCGGCGAACAGTTCACCGACAGAGACGAACAGTTCGCCGACAGAGCCCGATTTTCAGAAAACGGGTGGGGGGCCCCCCTAATCGTGCGCGGGTTGAAGCTGATCCATGATTCGGCGAACATCGCGAATGAATGGCGAATCTGTGGCGAATAGTCGGCGATACCTTGGCAACAAGTCGGCGCACGCAGCGACATGTCGGCGGCGACTCAGCGACTGTTTGGCGATCATGTTCGTTTATTATAAGTTCGGCGAACGGCCACGAAATTTTCATTTTTCATGAAATATTCGTGGCGGTCGTGACGAACCGTAAAAGTCGCGCATTGGACACCGACTGGTCTGCGAAATGCCAAGACCGTGGAAGAAAGATCCCGAATCGGTCCGCGACATAGGATGATTTGCATATTCGTGCACATTCGTGTACCAAAATTCGGCAGTGTAACAAGGGATTTAGCTCAAAGGTGAGTTCAACGACTTGCGACGGCGATATGCGGGCAACGCTGTCGCCGAGTGGGCCGTGGGCCGGCGGCGGCGGCGACTCGTTGTCGCCGAGCGGGCCGTGGGCCGGCGTGGCGTGCGGCAGCTCGTCTTCACGGCGGCTGTCGCCGAGTGGGCCGTGGATCGGCGTGTCGTGCGTCGACTCGTCTTCACTGCGGCTGTCGCCGAGTGGGCCGTGGGCCGGCGTGTCTCGCATCGGCGGCGGCAGCTCGTCTTCACCGCGGCTGTCGCCGAGTGGGCCGTGGGCCGGCGTGTGTCGCATCGGCGGCGGCAGCTCGTCTTCACCGCGGCTGTCGCCGAGCGGCCCGTGGGCCGGCGTGTCTCGCATCGGCGGCGGCAGCTCGTCTTCACCGCGGCTGTCGCCGAGCGGCCCGTGGGCCGGCGTGTCTCGCATCGGCGGCGGCGGTAGCTCAGTGAAACTGCTGCCGTACTGTGCTTGGTCCAGCTGCAGTCTCGTGTTGCGCAGTCGAGAGGATAGCCAGTATTTCCCTTAAGGGAAATGAGAAGATGATGAGTATTTGGATGGGGAATAGATCCAGCCGGAGCGGGTTTCACGAAGATACATTTCAGACAGGGGTTTACGGAGGCAGTGGGTGATTATGGAATGGGCATCGGTAAATGGATATTGGCATACATATAGGACAGGTAATGGTTACATGGGTCTTCTTAACTAGCTGTTGCTACTGGTGCACCCAAGGTAAAGGCTCGCATTCGCCGCAAGGGTTAGCGTAAGAAGCGGTAAATGCGGAAATTCTTTTCATATGAGTCAGACATGGGCAGGGTTTCCGGCTAAATAACTTAGCAATGGCTGCTCAAAGTCACATGCGGTCATCAGGGGATGCAGGGCTGACAAATAGTGTGCAGACTACAGTGCGCGAGAAACCCTTCACCACGTGTAACATTGTCACTGGAGTGACACAGAGCATAGCGGTGTGTAGGATTTCGGGGTGCATCTAAGCATGTGCAAATCATCAAAGTTCGATCAGGCATTGACATTATTCACAAACCTGGAAAACTGTTTGTTGTTTGCGAATTTCCGGCGAAGAGCATCGGCCTTCTTCATAAGGCTACGCCTCTGTCTCTGGTTTCTGGGCTTGCCGGCGATGTCCCGCTGAACGGACAACCAAAACTTCATTTGGTTAGGACTACCGTTTGCCTTTTGAACGGCGGAGATGAGCTGAAAGAAATGCAAAACAGTACATCAATGCTGACTTGATTGTTGGTGATGATTTGGGGTGACAGGGCACACCAGCTACGAGACTATACAATTTGAGCTTGTTACACTTTACAAAGACTTTCCAAGGATCATGTTCAATTTTTAATACAACTGTTCTTTTCAGAGAGCGATCAATAAGCTACGCCAATATTCGGCTGTGGTCAGTATGAACCACAGCATTCACGGGGCCGGTCGGGCAAACCCAGCCGGCTCCGTGAAGCTTTTTCATTTCCATACATCTCGGCAAACGGTCAACTGACTGAAATGCAATCTGTTGCATCACACAGTCTTATCCTTCCTTGTTATTTATAATTAAACCACTTTTGTGGTAGCAGGGCTCCCTAATGTCCACTGCATCGTTGGTAAAACAAACGGCTACGTTCCACAACTAACTTACACACAATGCCACTATATCTAAGGCTGGTCTCGTTGACTGGTGTGTGCCAGCTGCCGACACCCACCTCGATGTCAGTGGTGAGCCAGTCGAGCCCGGCCCGGTCGGCGCCGCCGGCCGGCGTCTGCGGGCTCAGGCCGGCCGTGTGCGGGCTGAAGCCGCCCGTCGGTGACGACGCCGTGCACGCGGTGCCCGGCGAAGTACTCGGCTGGTTACCGGACGCTGGCGACGGAGTGCCCGCGGGCGGCGACAGATAGGCCGCGAATCCCGGCCCACCTGCCGAAGACACCGCATAAACGTCAGAAAACAGCTTAATAAATACAAGTATGTAGTTACTTTATCACTTTCAGTTTACTGTACATACTGGAAAGAAAAATGAATGCAACACCTGTCAGCGTTGAATGAGTGCAGACATGTGACGCCAATTTTGAGTTAAATCGTTTTCTTTAAAAAAACGGCCGAATTACCCCATACTCTCCTACCCGATTTTAACCCTCGCCCGTATAGGGGGGGGAGGGGGTCGAACGGACCCCCCTCGGTTTCTCGCGAATAACTCGCGTAAAAAGCGGCCGATCGCGACGAAACTTTCGGTACCCTCGCGTTAATCAATTTTAAACCTACCCTGAAATTTTCATGACCCTGACCCTAATGACCTTTGACCTGTGACCTACTTTTCGAGACCATGTTTGGCTGGAATCGCGATTCGGCGTATGTCGGCTCCCATTAGCCGCGCGTTTGCAAGCTTTTCGTGGTTTCAAAAGTTCAAACATGTGATTTGATGTTGCTCCCATGCATTAGGGTGGGCGTGAAGGTCACCTGAAGGTCAGGTCAGGTCATTGACCTTTGGTGACCTCTGTTCACTCTTTCGAGTTTTACATGTTTCTAGGCTAGTTTTTGGAGCTGAATTCGAATTTAGCAACCATTTGAACATTTACGAAGTAGTTTTGATGCCTTCGTAACATGTTACGAAGCTGTCAGAGGCGGATGACAGGTACTACGAATACCCGTCACGACCCCTACCGGTTGACCTGACCTGACCTGACCCGACCTGGTCTAAACGCTTAACGACATCATCTTTGATCAAAACTAACACGATATTCGCGATCAGCACTCCGGAAAACCCCTTAGCAGCAACACTTTACGACTTTCTAACAGGTCCCGATATTCCCGATTTTTGGGTCATTGACCTGACCTGGAAGGTCAACCGATGACCGAGGACCTTAAAATTGGGTATCATTGGCTTTCTCTCGTGACGGGCAACACGCTCGTTTTTTCCGCGAAGCTCTAGCTCCATCAGGGGCCAAACGCGAGGGGGGTCGTACACTCGGGAGCAGATTGATGTTCCACCACTCCCTACCCATCGAGCTCCCATGGCTCAGCACTGGCTGCCGCCAGTGTTGCCTGCCCTCAGCACTGCTCAGCACTGCCTGTCAGTGCCAATGCTGCCAGTGCTGACACTGGCAGCAGCCAGTGCTGAGCCATGGCTCCCATGGCTCAGCACTGGCTGCCGCCAGTGTTGCCTGCCCTCAGCACTGCTCAGCACTGCCTGCCAGTGCCAGTGCTGCCAGTGCTGAGCCATGGGAGCCCGATGGGTAGGAAGTGGTGGAACATCAATCTGCCCCCGAGTGTACCAACCCCGGTACGAAGCCGGTAGAGGACTACCTCCTCGCGTCGCGATCTGCGTGCGTGAGGCGTTTGTTACCGCGATAGGCGTTATCACAAGTGTATTCGCGGCCATTGGGGCGACGTAAGAAAAGAAGAAATCAACTGACCCTAAGAACTTTAAATCATCAGTTAGCATGCATCTTTTCCTTGATATGTAGAGAATTTACCATTAATTGATAGAGAAAATTGCATTTAAAATCTTCCATTTATGCTTTTTTCATCGTTTGCCCAATATGTTCTTTTACTAAGCTAGAAACATTAATTGGAAATAGTTCCCGCATCATCGTCAAGAACAATAGGAAGGACTTGAAGTGAATACAATAATGTAAACGGTTTTGTAATCTATGTGAAGACACTTCTAAAATCGCCTGTAAAATATTGAAGGCAAAAGTTCAACATTTTCACAAGAAGGATGTCTATAAACCTATTAAACATGTGACAACTCAGCCGGTATTTCGTCGCCTACAGCCAAGCTTTCCCTAGTGACCGATAGAGGCGCTGCTATCGATGTCCGCCCGTGCCGCCTAACGGTGAGATTGGCTCCAGGCCTCCTGCTGCACTTTCCGGGGAGGAAATAGCCCACCGCCGGTACAAAGCCCCTGGCGGGTGGAGGGAAACGGCGGAAGCAAGGATACTGCGCAGTGCGCAGTATGATGGTTCACAGCTCGGTCCGCCCGTTCATTGCCGTGAATACCGATATCGATATGGCTAGGAATCCAGCAAAAAGTCACCGAAGTACCCAGCTTTCGGCAACGCTGGAATTTATCGGTATCGTACCCACCTTTGTAGGGCTCCTGTGTGATTTGGATGGTCTGGTCGATAGAGTCGCGCTCCAAGTCCATCCAAACGCCCCTGCCGCGCTCGCTACCGTCGCCTGCCGCCAGGTCGGCTCTGACCGCGTCCTGGGGACGCAGTCTGAGCTGGTCAGTCACTAGACGGGGACAGGAGGCTATCACTTATCAGGGCTGGTGAACATGGTCGCCCTGATGGCGGATCAGAGCACTTGACGTTCATGACGTTCGCTCAAATGACACTCGCTAAAGTCACTCGCACCGCAAAAGCATGCCGCGACTAAGCGGTAGATTGAGCTCAGATGCCATGTGAGTACGATGTCGGAGTGGGCCACTCAGGCCGGGCCCTGGACCGATGTGGAAATTCAGAGCCGCTGCCTCGCTGAACTTACCGAGCAAGGTCTTTTCACGTCCACTTTGACGACGTCCTTCTGAGTGGTATTCTGTTCCGCGCCCAAGGCCACGGCGGTCCTGAGCTGCAGGTCCTGCGGCAGCAACTTCAGGTCGTGGGCCGGGAACTCGAGCGGGTCCTGTCGACGGTAACGGAGCAGACAGTTGTTTGACTACATAAGCATCGCCCTCCGCCCTTCGCGCAACGAGAAGCAATCGAAAGGGAGTTGGATCGTCAGGTATCACTAGGCATCCTGGAACCTGTCAAGATGTCACGATGGGCTGCTCCAGTGGTTGCGGTGAAGAAACCTGACGGCAGTGTTCGACTGTGTGGCAGTTACGACTTGACTGTCAACAAGGCCAGCAAATTGGAAAGGTATCCTCTGCCCCGAGTTGAAGAGCTGTTCGCCGCCCTGGCAGGCGGGAAAAAGTTCACGAAGATAGACCTTCGAGAGGCCTATCTGCAGCTCGAACTGGATGAAGACAGCAAAGAAGCGTTGACTATCAACACGCATAAGGGCCTGTTTCGCCCTCAGCGTCTATGCTATGGAGTCAAAAGTGCTGTCATTCTATTCCAAAGAGAAGTGGAGACACTCCTGGCTGGCATCCCCAATGTGGCCGTCTTTCTAGACGACATAGCCGTGACGGGCCCAACCACAGAAAAACATCGCCAGAATGTGCAAGCAGTTCTGCGCCGTCTCAGTTCAGCCGGTTTGCGCGTCAACGCCGACAAGTCGGTGTGGTTGGCTGATGAAGTCAACTACCTCGGCTTCCGCATCTCCTCAGCAGGAGTCCAGACCACATCCGAAAAGACACGAGCCGTGCTCGAAGCGCCTGAGCCGTGCAACCTGTCCGATCTGAGAGCGTATCTCGGTATGCTCCAGTACTACGGACGGTTTCTGCCCAACCTGGCTACAGTGGCTGCCCCGCTGTACGCGCTGGAAAAGAAGGACGCTACCTGGATCTGGTCATCTCCTCAGCGAGCCGCGTTCAACGAAACGAAGGAAATGCTAGCAGCAGCTCCGGTGCTCGCCCATTACGAGCCTGACAAGCCACTCGTTCTAACCACTGATGCAAGTTCGTGCGGTGTGGGAGCCGTCCTCAGTCACCCAGATGCCACGCTCAACATAGATCGCCCAATTGCGTATGCAAGCCGTACTCTGTCTAGCGCGGAGAAAAACTACAGCCAACTGGACAAGGAAGCGTGTGCAATCATGTTTGGAGTGACCAAGTTCCATCAGTTTCTCTATGGCCGATCGTTCGTCATCAAAACGGACCATCAACCGCTGCTGGGTCTGCTCAGCCCGGACAAAGACCTGCCTCAGACCGTCTCGCCCCGGCTGCTCCGCTGGCGCCTGCATCTGAGCGGCTATCAATACAGTCTGAAGTTCACACCGGGAAAGCTGATCAGTAACGCCGACGGCCTCAGCAGACTGCCGCTACCGGAGCCTGCACAGGACAATGCCCAATACATCGCCAACGCAAGGGAGAACACTCCAATCCCCGTTGACATCATCCAGATGTTAGAAGACGTCTCAAAGTCCGTGGACGTGGATCACGTCCGCGCTGCAACTGACCGTGATCCGGTTCTGTCACGGGTTCGCCGCTGGCTGCAAACACAATGGCCTGAGTCATCGCCCGGAGATGAATTCCAGCCATATCATCACCGCCGCCTAGAGCTCAGCTTGCAAGATGGCTGCATTCTGTGGGGGTGCCGGGTCATCGTCCCTCCCCCTCTCCGGGATCAAGTTATCACAATGCTACATGATGGTCATCCCGGCATCAGTCAGATGAAACGTCTCGCGAGGAGTCACATATGGTGGCCTCTACTGGACTCGGACATCGAAACGTGTGTAAGAGCGTGCCACAAATGCCAAGCAAACCGCAGCGCACAACCAGAGGTTCCCGCTCAGCCCTGGACATTTCCACAGCGCCCATGGCAACGAGTTCACGTGGACTTTGCGGGTCCACTGGAGGGCAAACAGCTCCTGGTGGTCGTGGACGCATATTCCAAATGGTGTGACGTTCACATCTGTCACTCTACCTCCAGTGCAGCTGCAATCGAAAAGCTCCGAATGAGTTTCAGCTCCAAAGGACTGCCAGCAGTGCTGGTAACCGACAACGGCACCGCGTTCACATCTGCCGAGTTCCAGGCCTTCATGAAGGGAAATCGCATTCTGCACAAGTTCAGCCCGCCTCTCCATCCTGCCTCAAACGGTCAGGCAGAGGCACTGGTCAAGGTCGTCAAAACAGCGCTCGCAAAGCGTACGGATGGCTCGCTTCAAACAAGGCTATCTCGTTTCCTGTTCTCATACAGGAACACACCACATACCACAACAGGTCGCTCGCCAGCTGAGCTGCTCCTGGGCCGCCCACTTCGCGCACCCCTGGACCAGCTGCATCCAGATATCGCTGCAAAAGTCGCCCGACAGCAGTACTCATGGAAACAACGCACGGACCAGTCCGCATCCGACAGACAGTTCCAGGTCGGTGACTGGGTCTACGTAACAGCGATCACCAACGCCGTCGACAAATGGCTACCAGCAACGGTCGCCGCCGTGTTCGGTCAAAGCTGTGAGGTATGTACAGCTAATGGACGGCCGACTGTTGGTGCGTCACCGCTCCCATCTCCGAGCCCGCAGCGCGCCGGCCTCTGCCCCACCGGCCGTCTCATCCGACCTCAGCCGGTCCGGTGCCCGGCCGTCACCGCTGCAGCCTGGCCAGACGCCACCTGACACCGGTCCGGATCAGCTGACTCGTGCACCGCCGCCGCCGCCCGCTGGTGCACCGTCGTCGCCCGCTCGTGCATCGTCACAGCCCGCGGCCGAGCCGTCTCGGTCGTCCCCGGCGCTGACCCCTGGACCCGCGCCGCGCACATGGACTCCGGCCCGCCCCGTTCGTCGGAGGCGGGCCCCTGACCGTCTGATCATGTGATCGGGATACTGTAACGTGCTTCATCGTGAAAATGCTGATCGCATATTTTGTTCTGTGCCTCATACGGCCTTATGTACTGCTTGCTTTGCGTTTTACCAGCTTCTCACGTGTTGCTTGTTTCCTCCCGATGTGCTATACCTAAGAGGGGAGGAATTGTTCTGTCTGCGGGTACTGGACGCCCCGCCACCTAGTGGTCGACTGGCCCACCCGCGCTCGCGCCCGGCGCCGGAGTAGGCGGCCGGGCAGTTGGTATTGACGAGGCTTGGCGCAAGCACGGTGGAAATACAACAGCCTCCACCGCCACCAGTCCTGTCGCTGCGAGCATCAGCCATCACTCGCCAGCACTTCAAGTTAACTTCAACTGGGCATCCACCGCCACCACTCCTGTCGCTGCGAGCATCACTCGCCAGTACTTCAAGTTAACTTCAACTGGGCCTCCACCGCCACCAGTTCTGTCGCTGCGAGCATCGCTCGCCAGCACTTCAAGTTAGCTTCAACTGGGTATCCACCGCCACCAGTCCTGTCGCTGCGAGCACCACTCGCCAGCACTTCAAGTTAACTTCAACTGGGCATCCACCGCCACCAGTCCTGTCGCTGCGAGCATCACTCGCCAGCAACGCCAGTTAAATTCGACCCTACTTCCAGCCAAGTTAAAGTATCGAATGACCGATAACACAGGTCTCCAGTAGCCATCTCTTCAACTGCCAACTCTTCGATTCGATTATCGTAAAATAAAACCGAAATAGCTTGTAATAAAATATCGTTCGTATTCGTTATATTGGTAAGAACACATCCTTTCCAAGTCGATCCGCGTCATTCCCCCTTTACGTCTCCCCACATTGACCCAGAAAATAATCATTTACTTTTCCACTTCTCGTGCACAATTTCACGCGTCGACAAATAAACCGCACTTCCATTACATATAGCCAAAATACCTGAGATTTTTTAATGTCAAGTTTGCGTACTCCAAAATCATATCTATTCTGCTTCCTCCAGTGCCTAATAAGCTTGCGCAAGACTATTATCCATTAGATGTTGGGACGATCATGACCACTTGACTAAAAAAAATGATTCACTTAGTTCTTACAAGCCTGTTAACTCATTACACAAGGGGAGGGGGCACTGCAAAAGGGCGTGGAAATCGCCACATTTGTCTAAGATGTTTAATGCATAATAATCGGCACCAAAATATCGTCGTATTAGTATGCAAGGTCACCAAAGAAAAAAACCAACGTTATTTATCAAATATCAAAGCAAATTGGCAATATCTAGCACAACGAAAGACATAATTCAACACCTAACGAGGCCGGCCGAGTCCCCGATACCACCATGGCGACCGCTCGAGTCCAACTGGCCGGCAACTGGCCAATCAGGGGGCTTGTTTGTCATTTCTGGGTGGGATTAAAAAACATGCTTGCCTCGCCGGGTGACTTTGCCATGCTTCTCGAAAAATGTGTTAGGGAGATCTCCCATGATATTTAATGAGGAATGTAGTAATGTTTTATGCACAAATGAAAGGTAATTGATGGGCCTCCCAATATACTGATAGGCGTTATCACAAGTGTATTCGCGGCCATTGGGGCGACGTAAGAAAAGAAGAAAACAACTGGCCCAAGAACTTTAAATTATCAAATAGCATGCACCTTTTCCTTGATATGTACAGAATTTACCATTAATTGTTAGAGAAAATTGCATTTAAAATCTTCCATTTATGCTTTTTTCATCGTTTGCACAGTATGTTCTTTTACTAAGCTAGAAACACTAATTAGAAATAGTTCCCGCATCATCAAGAACAATAGGGAAGGCTTGAAGTGAATACAATAATCTAAACGGTTTTGTAATCCATGAGAAGACACTTCTAAAATTGCCAGTAGAAATATTAAAGGCAAAAGTTCAACTTTTTCACAAGACGGATGGCTATTAACCTATTCAACGTGTGACAACTCAGCCGGTATATCGTCGCCTACAGCCCAGCTTTCCCTAGTGACCGATAGAGGCGCTGCTATCGATGTCCGCCCGTGCCGCCTAACGCATAACTGGGGCATTCCACGATAGATCGTACATACCACTTTTTTCCAATTTGACACCCTTATCTCTCGGAATTTGACGAGAATTGGTGTCAGGGGTAATCAGGGGCTCTAAATCCACCTGCAACAATTTCAGGCTTATCAGATAACTATTTTTTGAGTTATGGTGCATAACACTTTTTGGATCTTGCTTTGCAGCGCTAAGTTTGGCGGGCTGTAACTCTAAGACGGATTATTCAAATGCCAAATGTTATATAACATTGAACTTGCAATGAAACAGAGATTAATATGTATTTTTGAAATTTCGAAAAAAATACGCTATTTTTAACCCACGAGCCGCTGGGGGGGGCATAAAGTTGCCCCCCCCCCTTTACGTTTTGTGAAATATCTCCGAAACCTGATGAGCTACGAACGTGAAACTTGGCATAGCTTCAAATGAATACCTAGGCAATGTTTGAGGAAAGTTTGGTGGTTGTAGCACCTAAGATGACGTCACAGTGACGTCATAAATTTTTGCCGTTTTCCGATATGGACCGTTTCTGATGACGCTGAGC